CAAATGTTTCCATCCAATATTTAAAAAGAAAAAAAAACTTGAATTTTATTTAAACTTGAAAATGACTTTGCCTTAACTTTTGTATAAGACAGCTTAGATTTAATTAAGTCTGACCCCCTTCTCTGTGGGTTAGCATGAGTGAAATATAAAATTACTTGGTTTCAGTGTGTATCTCTGTTATGACTGACCTAAGTAATAACACTGTTGTACAGGAAATAGCAACAGTTTTTGTAATATACCTTTAAGATCTCAACAATTGATCTTTTTTTTTCTTTTTCCAGATTGTTGAAATGTAAATGCAAATAGTCAATACTGTATTAAATATGTGCACTTGGAAGTGTGTGCTTTGCTTGTACAGATGTAAATAATCAGAACATATAAAAAGGTACCCTACAAAAAAATGCTAAAAAATTATTGTTGATTATATTATAAATGTTACTGTTAAGCTGGATGTAGATAAACTAAATGTTGTGGTTTGAATCTTTATTTCAGTCATTATTATTATTTTTTTAACCTGGTGTGTTGAACTGACTTTGCCTATTCACTGCAAAAGGGAGATTGTTAAGAGTCTTATCTGAAGATAAAACCCTCATCTATTTCAGCATTCTTCAAGTCTACACTATTCAATACCAGGAAGTATTTGATTTTTTGTTTTAATTACCAAACAGTATGTACAGTTATTTTTGTAACTCCTGGAATCCCTTTGTAAATCCACCGACTATATTATTTTTCTTCTTTTCAGGCATCAGTCAGAAAAGAAAAAAAAAATGAAAAACCTTGTAACCACTGGTCCTATGTTGTGAATTTCTCATGTTTTATTTTAAGATTCAATTAATTGATGGCAATTTGACTGTAGTATGTTGGAGCATTCTAGAGTAGCCCAAGCAGAAATGACTTCATCAGTGAAGCCGAGCTTGAACAAGTCTCCTGTTTCCTTATTAAATGGCAGTTTGGTTCGCAAAGTCATTTTATCTGATAATTTGCAAATGACCGCTAAAGCCAACCATACACTGTACGCTCTGATTGCACAACCTCTTACCAATGACTACCTGATTGGATACCGGTTGAATATGTTTGTTTGTCCTCGTATAACATAGTATTGTAAAATCCAAAGGATAGTGTGCAGTGTTTGTTCGATCAGATTGTAATGTGTACACTCCTCTAAGACTGACCTTATCATATTTTACAAGAATGCCGGCTGCTCTCTACTAGATTGGATTCGGCAGGCCATACCTGTGCAGTGGCAGGAGTAGTTCAATTGTGCTCCACATCCAAATTGCATCTTTTGCACTTAGTTCTGTGTCAAATTTTCAATATTATGGTTGCACAAGTATGATTAATCACCCTGTGTAAGATAGATGTACATGTCTATAGCTATATATAGATGTATACATTATTTCAATAATACATTTTTCCCCTCCATGCAACTAATACATATACTTTTCTTCCTTTTAACATTATTGGCTCATATATGACGCATTGGAATGTCCTCATTTTCTGCTCTTGAACAAGGTGTGTTGGCACATTTTCCAGAGATACAATCTCAGATTTTACATTTTGAATTATAAAGCTGGTCACACATCTTCAGGTGTGCTTAACTTTTTTGATCGGATTGACAAAATTCAAGAACCTCTATTTAAAGCCTAAATGAACAATTCATTTCAAATTATGTGTATCCAGTTGGTGAATTTTGCCGGTCTGACAATGCACATTTCTGATTAAATCTGTGTGGCAGCACAAAGTCAGTCTTGTCTCTCCGAAAACCGTAACACACCTGTGCACGGGATCTCTCAGAGTCCTAGGAAAGCATATTTGCTATTATTTTCCAACCTGTAAATTCAATTTATTATTGCTACACCTGCCATATACATTACTCCCAGGAAATAGAATCCTAATTTCAGGTCAGGGTACTACTGCCATCTTTTTTTTTTTCTTTTATTAAGGCAGTTTCCACTTTCAGCTAAGCGTTTAGATATACTACAGGATGACATATTGGCTTAAAGGGAATCAAGGACAACATTTGTTTAAGAAATCCTCCAAATTAAAAAACTTCCTACACAAATGTAAAGGCTTTTCTTTCTGCTAGGGTTACATTCCAGCTGTCCTACATTAAGAAATGTTTCAACTTTATTTTTGTATTTCTTTTGTGAAAGTGGAAGTTTCCCTTCAATGATTAGACATTTAAGTTTTTTTCCGTTTCTCCACAATTTTATCAGTATACAAGGTGAAATCAGAATGGCTTTCAGTATTTTATAAGCATGAGATTGCTGTATATGTGCTAAGAATTCTTTGTTCATACTGTAACAGCTGAGCACAATGGTACATATCTGTCTATCTTCTCTAGTCAAATGGTTACTCCTGTTTATGTATTGTGAATCTTTTACACTAATGGCCGCGGGTGTTCCACATGATGCCGTGCAGCTGAAATGACTTGAAATAAACTTTTGAGGGTTTTCAGTTTGTCCTGTTTCTTCCATTAAGACTGGAATCAAGCATATGTGTAAATAATGGTAATTTAATTTTTTTGTGACATAAAATGTAAAAAAAAAGTCTAATTTGAAAAAAAAATGTAGGTTATGAATAATAAAGGTTTAGACACTTATGGTTTTTTTATTTTTTATTTTTTTTTCTTCCCCATACAAAATAAAGGCTCAGTTTCATTTAATCTACTGATAACTGCTTGTATGTTCTGTTAAGACCTCAGCTGTACAAAGTATGAAGAGGATCTTCCTGAATTTCAGTTGCTATGCAACTACACAACACACACAAAAAAAAAACCTGCATGGGTACTGATGTTGGTTCTGTATTTGTAATATACAGTACTGAAATTAAAGGCAAATTAATCCCATTTCTCTCCCCTTTGTGTTTGTCCTGCACTAACGGTGTTCAGTATCATAAAGGAGATGTACAGTCTCCATTTTATTTTTTAGATTAGCTTGAACAATAAATTAGTATGTTATCAGTGTTTCAATAATGGCTCCATTCTTTCCTCACCTTTTTTCAGTTTATTTTTTACTCCGCCCCCCCCTCCTGATGTCTCCTCTGTACCTCAAACACAGCCATGTAGTACAGGAATGTGCTTCACCTTCTGTTTAGCCAGCAGTTCAGTGGCCTTCTCACAGATGAAGTGCTGAGAATAGCACTTCATACTTCAGTGATCACAGAGCAGATTGGCCAACAAAAAACACACTGGGAGGGGTAGAGCGGCACAATCCTGGCTAGTACAAGTTGGGGAGCTGGCTCTGCCTGCCTGATGTCATTGATTGCTTGGAAGCCTGCGGTCCTAGCAGCCAATCACTGAAGATGAGGGGGGCCTGCGCTGAGTTAAAGCTGAAAGTGGCTGCACTGTCAGTCAGCCATAACCCAGCGCACGTAGGTGACCGCAGTCTGGACAGAACGGCCATGCAGTCTGCCCTTTTAGTGATGGCTGGCCTAGATGAAACACTGTACATGTAAAGGACATTCTAGCCATTCAATCCACAGCACAGCCAATCCCTTCTTGGGTACTTTCTCTGTTTCTTAGGCCTTGTTCACACCAAAAGCGTGTGCGTTCCACAGCGGTAGCTGCTGGGGTGCACCGCGATCGCTAAAAAAACTTTGTTCTGGGGTGGGAGGGGGGTGTGGCGGTGCATTGAATTCAATGGCACCGCTTCCCCACACACACACACACACACACACACACACACACACACACACACACACACACACACACCCCCTCGCCCCCAGTGTGATGGGACGCGTGGCAAGACTTTGCCAGCGTTCCACTGCAAATGCGAAAAATAGGGGTTGCTCTATTTTTTTTACG